TATTTTCTTTTAGTTTGACCCTGTTTCTTTTTTTTTCCTTGACTCATCACTGTGTACCTTGAAGGAATGGTCTGCAGCTCTTGCCTTCCCATGTTAATTTCCCATTCTTTGGACTGTTGAAGTTAGGCTTTCATTCCCACTATGCCCCCTGAAGGTGCTCTACAAAAAGTCACTGGTTCCCTGGTTGCCAAATCTGGTGACCTCTCTAGGCCTCATTTTCTGTGACCTTTCTAAGACGTTTAATGCTGACCACTTCCTTCATGAAAACTTCTTTGTTTTCTGGGATACTACTTCCTGATTTTCCTACCTGTGGCATACTCCTTCTTATTCTCCTTTTCTGCCCCTCTTCCTCTGCCCATGTCTTCAGTGCTGATGCTCTCTTTTACCTCCCTTTCAGTAGTGTCACTCATCTGCATGGTTTTCATTTTGTATACCCAGGTGATTCTGAAATCTGAATATTCCATGCAGATCCCTGTTTTGAATCCAGGGATTCAAAATGACCTGATCCTCATAACAGTCCTACAGAATAGTTCTGCTTTCCACATTTATAGGTGAGGAAACTGAAGTGAAGGGATGTTTGGTTATCTCTTTGAGGTCAAGCAGTCAGTAGAAGAGGCAGAATTTGAACTTCTTTCTAAAGTGAGGTCTTTAACTCTGTAATATGCTGTTAATTAAACATCTCCACGTGGCTATCTGAGAGATGTATTAAATATGTCATGCCCCATAACAAATGCCATCCCTAACTCTGTTCTCATTATTCCTCCTCTTACACTCTCCCCTGCAACAAAACAAAACAAACAAAAAACCAAGAGAGAGAATTTGAAAACTATATACTCAATCTCAATGAATGGCATTCTTTCTTCCAGTTATCCAAGCCAGAATGTGTATCAGGAATTGATGTAGACTTCCCTCTGTCGCTCCATCTTACAGACCTGTCTGGCCCAAGGAAGCCTCAGTTCCTGGGTATTCTCCCTTTTTAACAGGACTTATAATCATTCCCTCCTTTTTACTTTTTCTGCTGTCATAGTTGAGAACTTCATATTGACCTGGATTGCCATTATAGTGACAATCTAACTCATTGCTTCCCCTATTACCTGAGCTGAATAATAGAGGTTTTTAATTTTTTAAAATTTTTAATCTGTTGCAGATGTTTTATAGCATTTAAAAATATGAATTATTGGAAAGCTGAAGTGAAAAACACAACTATGAGCTCCATTTTTTAAATAATTAAATTTGATAGCCATAAAATAATTGACAAACTGCTATGAAAGTTTTTAAATACTAATCGTCCACATATATCCTGTCACAGACAGATAACAGTTTGTGGATTGACACTGATCCACAGACAACATTGAGGAGCACCGGTTCATGGTATCTGAGGAAGAGAAATGTCTTCAGTTGTCTCAGATTACCAGATGGGCTCATTTATTTAAAATGGAAACATGTCAGTTAGGATGTTCTTTGCTTCTGGCTTATAGATAGCATGTATATATGGATTAAGAGGTTTTAGAAAATTTCCTGTTTCTGTCGGATCCCTTCTTTTAATATAAATAAATCCATTAGAGCAAGGGGTAATCATGTTCCATTACAGTTTAATGCTAAGATCAAAGTGTATTGATTTAGGAGTCCAAAGCAAAATAAAATTTTTTAAGGTTTTATTTATTTGACAGAGAGAGACACAGCAAGAGAGGGAACACACGCAGGTGGAATGGGAGAGGGAGAGGCAGGCTTCCTGCAGAGCAAGGAGCCCGATGCAGGGAGCCCGATGCAGGGCTCCATCCCAGGACCCCTGCGATCATGACCTGAGCCGAAGGCAGATGCTTAACCCACTGAGCCACCCAGGTGCCCCCAAGGCAAAATTTTCTTAAATAAGTTGGAAGTATAGTCTTCATGGATTACCTATAACAAGAATGATTTCCCCTGGTTTCATATATTTAATTTGATATTGTACGCATATACAAAAATTTCCCTTTAATGTGCAATAAATTATAGCAGATGAGTCAATATATTCTACTTCTGAAAGATTAAAATTCTACATAGCTATTAATCTGAATAGGTGATAAATAACAAAAGTAGGGTATTTGGATTTGTTAGACCTCTGACTAAACCCTTATCACAAGATTTGTAGCAAATGAAATACAGACAGGTGATGCTTAAATGGTCAGATGGTAGAACACTACCTGCCTTTAAAAAAAGGTACTGCTGAGGAATCAAAACACACAAAACCAAAGTTCCAAGGGGATGTGAATTCAAGAGTGGGTGTGCTCTAAGTTAACTGAAGTTATACCTAGAGTTAGTTTAGAAATTGATTAAATAAAAAAAGCCATACTGTGCCGACCTCCTTTTTGTCTATATCAGGTCTGACACAGAACAAAACAATATGGGCAAATGCTAAGAGAACATAATTTTCCTATATGAGGTTAAAAAAAAAAAGTCAGAAAAAGCCTTTCAGATATTTAAAAAAAGCAAATTAAGCAATTAAGATTCAGCACTGTGCCAGGACTAAAAACTACACAGAAAATTTCTAACCATTAGGAGTTCATTAAGAGTTAAAAAAATTCTTTTTAAGTTATAAGTTATGTACGTTATAGCAAATATTTGCTATAAGTTATAGCAAATATTGCTATAACTTATAGCAAATATTGCTATAACTTATAGCAAATATTGCTATAAGTTATAGCAATATTTGCTCTGTTAAAGAAGTAAATGACCTCCAAACACAGTTAACCATCAAAAAACCAAACCAAACCAAACCAAACAACAAAAAAAAACCCCAACACTTTGTCATGAGAAGTAGAAGTACTCTCGGATGTGTAGGAGATGAAATGCCTAAAGCAGGATTTTATAGTCACTCTTCTTCCATTTGTAGGTGATTCACAGGAGGTGGGAAAATGGCAGCTTGCTAAACCCACCCCTAGAATGTGACCAAACGTTTTATTCAAAGAAAACTTATAAAGTAGTAGCATGGCTTGTACGGAAGTTCAGGATAGAGAGGAGGTAGGAAAATGTAACCTTGTTGGGTTCTCTGTGCTCCCCAAAGCAGAAAGGGGTGACATGTAGGGAAAAGAAAGTTTCTTTTTTAAATGTAATTTTTAAAAAAGGAGAAACAAAAAGAAAATAACTTTTCTTGATTTATATTGTAGCAACTGAACCTGAGTTATGGAATAACATGTTCACCTGGTAGCCTAGGATGGAAGGGAGAAATGATGACATTGCTGGCAAGGGGAACAGGGAGAACAGGCACGTGGAGGATAGTTTGAAACAGCAATGTGTTGTTCTCAGAAGAGGAAGCAGTTTGAAGCGGCGAGTCCAGCCAGGAATGAAGTGTCTGGTGCCGGCTGGGATGTGACCGTAGAGAAGGCTGAAACCGGTGCTTCTCAAGCGGATGTGCACATGAATCACCTGAGGATTTGCTAAAATTCCATCTCAGGAAAGGGACTTGAGAGTCTGCTCTTCCCTAAAGTTGCAAGGTGATGCTGATGGCCTGGTCCACAGACCACACTTGGTTCAAGACTCAATTTTGTCCTAATATTTACTGATACTTTGTTTCATGGATTATGAGTTACCACTGTTCAGTGTTTGTTGGATAATGCAAAATACATGGCATTTCTGTTAAGGTAGATATTTAGATATTAAATAATTTTATATGTTTTGTTCTGATGATGGTAAAATAATACTCTTAGCAACTTCATCGCCAAGGGCAAAATAAATAATTTAGGTATAAACTCTTATTTTTATTGAATTAGCTGAATAAGATGATGCAGTATAATAATGGGAATAATCTAAAATTTGGAATTAGATTTTTAGACCTGGACTTCAGTATCAGTTGTGTGTTGAAACAACTGTGACTTAATGAAGCTAAATTAACCCATTTCTCTTTTTTGTTTTCTCATGTCTGAAATAGTTATACTTGCCATTTTATAGAATTGTTGTGAGGGTTAGAAATGATAATGTATGAAGTACCTAGCAGAGAAAGGTTAATGGAGGTTTCAATCACAAACTTTTGAGATCCCTTGAAGCTAAATTTCTACTATTCTTAAATAAAGAATATTGGGTGATCTTATCTTAGGAATGATTGATCTGTGTGTGATTTATTTACCCTTTTTACTTTTTGTGTCTTGTTTTCTCATTTTTGCCAAGTAATGTTCTTTGTAGTTTATAAGAGCTCTCCCTAACTCAAGATCCACTTATTCTCATGGTATATAATATGGTTGTTACAGAGGGGAATATGTTGTATTTCTGAATGCTCTGGAAGCATGAAATAATAGGTTGGATTGTAATTGTATCTGGTTTTTAGAGTTCTTTCATCTTATTTTTAAATGATTTCTTGATTATGGAAATTTTGTATATAATTTGCCACTTTTGGTTTGTTGTGAAATAGGAACATCCCCCTTATGGAGACAAAAAATAGCCTAGCCTCTTGCTTAACTATCATTCAAGCCTATAAATAGATACACCAGTTTGTGCTCCTCTGTAGGGAGAATCTTAGTGAAGATTCAGCGAAGAGACCCCCAAGTGCCTTAGAAGTAGGATTGAGGCCTTTTAGGCAGGAATTCTGGTGGTTCTGGTGACCAAACCCCAGTCCTCCAGAAGGGGGACATAGAATGTGGGTGGGCACATCTCTGATCTGTGAGGACAGGCACAGCAGTTCTAAAGCCAGGGCCTCGACGGGCCTTTAAAGCTCAAGACAAGGGCCCAGGTTGTTAGGCAGGAGTGTATTAAGGAAATTAGTATTTAGTCTCCACTGACTTTTTTTGATACTAGCTCATTTATTTAGCTTTCTTGTTTCATGACTATGGTATACTTTTATTTATGCTTGAGTTTTTAATGGATGACGCAAGGAAATTATAAGCACCTTATTTAATTCAGTAGCTCTGAGATGGAAATAAGTCTTAGTGATAAAAAAGTTCTTAGATTAAATGTGGTTTTGATAGTAGGCATTTTATTAAAAAATTTTTTTTTCTAATTCTGTGCCTTGTCCTTATGTTTTGGTTGTTTAGATCTGCTTCAGCTCCCCAGGAATATGATTGAAAACAGCATGTTTGAGGAAGAACCAGATGTGGTAGATTTAGCCAAAGAGCCCTGTTTGCATCCTCTAGAGCCTGATGAGGTGGAATATGAACCCCGGGGTTCACGACTGCTGGTGCGGGGTCTTGGTGAGCATGAGATGGATGAGGATGAAGAGGATTATGAGTCATCTGCGAAACTGCTGGGCATGTCCTTCATGAACAGAAGCTCAGGCCTTCGGAACAGTGCAACCGGCTATAGGCCGAGCCCAGATGGGACTTGTTCCGTACCGTCTGCAAGGACCATGGCGGTCTGTGTTTTTCTTATTGTGCTTGCTGTTTCTATAATCATGGTGATTTATCTACTGCCCAGATGTACCTTTACCAAAGAAGGCTGCCATAAAAAAAACCAATCAATGAGACTAATTCAGCCACTTGCGACAAATGGAAAGGTGTTTCCGTGGGCACAAGTCAGGCTTCCCACCACCATTATGCCACTACGCTATGAACTTAACCTACACCCAAACCTCACCTCAATGACATTCAAGGGTTCTGTGACAATTTCACTTCAGGCTCTTCAGGCCACGTGGAATATCATTCTTCACAGTACAGGCCATAATATTTCGAGAGTGACCTTTATGTCAGCAGTTTCAAGCCAAGAAAAACAAGTTGAGGTCTTGGAATACCCGTTTCATGAACAAATTGCCATTGTTGCCCCTGAAGCCCTTCTCGAAGGACACAATTATACCTTGAAGATAGAGTATTCAGCGAATATATCTAGTTCTTACTATGGGTTTTATGGAATCTCCTACACAGATGAAAGTAATGAGAAAAAGTATGTAGCCTTCCTTAATGATTTTACTTCTTTGCTCTGTGATGACTTACATAATATGGATTCCTTTGCCCACACCAAGAGACATTAACTGAAATTTTTTTTTTTTTAGGAGGTTATGTGCAAAATAGTAGAATGGTGATTTGGAAGAATATACTATTTCTGTCTTAGTCAAAGCCGTTAGCAACTATGTCATGGAGGGACTTGGGCAGGTGGGTGGGAAGAAATGGATGAAGATTATATCAGTTATAGTCTCTAGCACAAAGTCTTAAGTTATTTTGAGCTTTTAATGCTGGTGAATCGAGTTTTCAGTCACCTCACGGGATCTCGGTGGATGCAAAAAAGAATATTGATTTTTTTTTAAGACCTATTTTCCTAACGTGCAGAGCTTTTAGGAGGTGATAGTGAGATGGAGAAAGAGGGCAGGAAGAACTGTCGTATGCTTACATATATCATTTTTAGTGTCCTTAATATTTGTTGTTCCTTAAAAAAGTCACTTGTTTTGGATTTCTGATGGAATTAAAAAATCTAGGAGAGACTTAATTTGGTTTTTAAAAAAGGTGATTCAAAACATAAAAGTATTCAGCCCCCTATTTAGACTGTTATTTTTCACTTGAATCTTAGTATTCACAGTATATAGTTCCAGTTTCTGGAAAGATACAGTGTATGCTGCATACAGATTATTCTTAAGTAGCAATAATGTCATTTCTCTTAATGTACATGAAATCTTATTAGAGCTATTTAATTTGATTGGCACATTCTCTCATACTACTTTGTAAGCCAGTTTTTGAATTACTGATGCTAGCCGTTTGGCAAATGTGTGTTGGTGTATTGAGAAAAATAGAATAGCAATGAACATTTAAAATCTGTCTTAAGGAAATGGTTTAAGAATGAACCTTCTTAAATGATGAAAGACAAAGCAAGATCTATATACCTATGTAGAAAAGTAATTTTTTTTCTTTGCCTTTACCTTAAAAAAAAAAAAGGGCATTCTGGAGCTTGCGTGAGATCTGATGTTAAAAATAAATTTATGATTGTGAGATGTGGGGATGGGTACTGCCAGAGGTGAAAGTGACCCACGATAGGTTCACACCCATTTCCTTTGTGGGTCAATGTTTCTTTCCTTTTTACTTTCACTCTGATCTAAAACTAGAACTTTACCTGTTCAAATGTCTCTATTAACAAAGAAAACTGAACTGTAATATAGTAAACGGGATTCCCCCCCAAAAAGGGCAAATTTATAATTATGGCAGCTCATGGCTTCTTGCCTTCATTTCTCCCTTTATAATCATCATCTCTAGGAGCTACAGGATATACATAAAAACAATGCAAACAAACCTGGAAGACAAATCCTGTAGTCATCTCTTCTAATCACATTATTGCCCTTGGAGTCCCTTGGGCCAACTACTATCTTATGGAAGGAATAAATGTATGGCAGAGAAAGGTGGTTTTGGGTATGGTCACTTGTTGATTCTTGCCATGGGCTAGATCAAGTTGTGGAAAATGCTAGAAAAATAGAGAAGACAATTCCTTAAAAATAGGAAATAGAATATTATTTAAAAAGTGTTTTTAAATATATTAAAACAAGTTAGTATGTGAAATACTGCTGTTAAAAAAGTATATAAATCTGTTAACCTGCCTGCTTCAGTAAAATGAATGCCTCACATGGTTGTATATCTTGATGGAAGGTAAGAGTTGAGAAGATTATTTACCTTTCAAAGTATCTGAGAACTGTAATTCAAAGCAATATTTTTGGTCTCTCTCCAACTTTTAATTTTGCATGATTCTATTAGAGAAATTTTTGCATGCCCCCTCCAAAGTGTAGTAAGAATAACTACTTAAACAACTAGATAAAATAATTAAGGGATATGTTCCTTATTGATGGGAAAATCAGATTATATGTAAATGTCAAACATATATTTGTGGTCAGGGAACTTGACCGATGTCATCTAAGATGTAGACATCAGTGACCCTAAGATGTAGGGTCATTGAACTTGGAGTTCAGTCTAGAAGGTATTGATGATATACTTAAGGTTCCAGATAATAAACTGATACTAAAAGAACTACTAAACAAATTTAGGATGGGGATGTGTTTTATTTCTTTGTCCTTCAGTTTTTCAGTCCTTTTTCTTGAACTCTTCAAGCATCCTCTTAACTGGTCTCCTGGCCTCCAAACTTGCCCCTTTCCCCTACTCTTTTCTTCCCACCATCTTACACACAGTTTCCAGGCTCATATTTCTAGAAATACACGTTTAAGCATGTTGATCTTTGGTTTAAGATCCTTTAGCACTTCCTCTTTTCTAATAGGATTCAGTTCAAGATTTTAACAGATCTGGCCCTTGTTTTATCTCCTATCCCTCACCTGCCATAACGAACTTCATGTGACTCTCCTGAATTCCAGTGATAATATTTACTGAGAACCGAAGTGCTAGAAACTTTTCCAAGCACTTTCTGTGTTTAGTCTTTGATCTTTTCAAACCCACCAAGAGGTGGATATTAATATTTCATTCATTTTACAGGTAATGAGGCAGAGGCACATAAAGCAACTCATCTAACATCTTATGGCTAGCAGGTAGCAGAGGGGGACCTCAGTGTCATTTTCACTAGAAGCCCTGTTCTTAACCACTATGATATACTGGCTCCCTAGTTCACACCACCTTTTCATTTACCCATTGTTACTCCCAGTGGTTAGAATTCTGTTGCATGACCCCCAGCTAATTCATAATTGTCTTCAGCACTTCAGGTAATGCTCAAAGTGCAGCTAGTATTTCTGAAAGCAAAGGAAATCACTAATGAAAGCATAAGCTTCAGGGTATTCAACATAGATAGGACAGATTATAAGTATCCTCAAGCAGCAGCCTTCTCAAAGCGACTTTTTTGTAAGAGTTATTATTGCATCCATTTGAACAGTAATTTAAAATTTTCTTTGTCTCAGAACATTATAATCTAATTTTTATCTAATAAAGCAGTGGTCTAAGTAGACTATATGCATATTACGGATATCATTAAACTTTATCCCCTGGTCCCTTGTGGCCCTGTTCCATAATTTTCTGTTAAGTAGGTAGGAATTTGGGAGTGAAGTGAAGAAATTGAGTATTAGCAACATAATATGTTTAAATTGTTTCCGGTATGTTGATTGCTATCTTTTATGCAGTTTACTCAATGGAAACAATTATTTGGGCAAATCCTTATGGGAACAAAAGCACGATAATTTTAAGTGTGAGTGAAGAGTTATGACTATCTAGCATTGGTAATAAACATCTATGTTGGACTTTGTGCCAGACAAGTAGTTTTTATTTTGAATAGACTTAATAGATTCTAACAAAACCCCTAACTGTTTGGCAGAGGATCCTACCTCAGTCCTAAGTTAATGAATAAGGAAACCGAGGAGTATGTTACTGATTTGCCTGAAGTCATGGCTGGAAAAGTGCAGGGTTTGGGTCTTCTTACTCTAAATCCCACACTCTTTTCTGTATGTCTTTTCAAAGTGGAAACTAAGCCATAAGCAAGTGAGGCCATCATGTCCAGAGGGGTGATTGTACATGTGCCATATTGACTAGTACCTAAAATATGTGCAACAGGGCCATACTTGCCCTGATTACTCTATGGCCATGTTGGGATGATTTCCCAAATGCAGATCTCTTTTACTCCTCCGTTTTAATTGAAAATCTGATTTTCTCTTCTTTTTATGCTTTTCTCCCAACTTTTAACTGAGGACTTTCGTATGATTTTAAGTCTCATGTGTTGTTGCTGTGCTGTAGGAAAGGGAGGAAATTTTTTTATTCACTTCTGAAGATTGTGAAGGAGACCATCATACTACAGAGCACCTAGGGTTTGTTTGTTTGTTTGTTTGTTTGTTTGTTTTTTTAGTCTTCATGAAAGTGTGAGTAGTAAGTTTAAGGTTTAGTGTTGTGAAGCCAGAGTCTGGGTAGATGATTGATGGCAATTAATGACCACCTTTCATGCTGATGCCCATCTGAAACCTTTTTAAGACCTCAGTGGCCCACTGTAGGCTATCTTTGTGGCTTTATCTCCAGCCATCCTGGACAGCCACCTCCAGTCCCTGAGTATCCATCACTCTGTCTTGTGCTTCCCACTCTTTCTGCATGTCCTTTCTTCCCTTCTCCACCTTTTCAAATATTCCTCATTTTTTAAGACTGTTCAAATTTTGTCACCAGTTTCCATATGGTATTTCAACTGCTACTCAGAATTTGTTTCCTATCCTTTGTTTCCACTGCTTTATTTTCATTATTAATGACATGGTTTACAGCCTGACAGGTGTCTATTCATCATATAACCTGTGCCTCTCCCAGCTGATTGCAGATCCTTTAATGACTGGGATTTACCAGGTTTATCTTAGTGTCCCTAGTACTTGGCAAGATGCCTTCAATAGTAGGTGCTCAATAACTGTGGATGAATTTACATTTGTTTTAGGTACTTTGCAGCAACTCAGTTTGAACCCCTGGCAGCAAGATCTGCTTTTCCTTGTTTTGATGAACCAGGATTTAAAGCCACATTTATCATCAGGATCATAAGGGATGAGCAATATACTGCTTTATCAAATATGCCTAAGGTACTGTTCTGTTCCTTAATGTAAAACCTTTGAGTGGATCTCTTTCTTTGTAATTAATACTTGATTTCCTCTTTGTGATAATGTTGATAATGATTAAAATCATATACATTCTTATTCTTTCTTTAAATACTTGAGTAAAAGTTAAAATATGTATTGGAATTAATTAAGAAATCAGCCCAAGGAGCAGTTGAAGGAAGAGGAAGACCTGCTGGATGTGGAATGTGTGGGTAGGAAATGGAAGTGTGTGCCATATACTAAAGCTGTACAAATAATAATATTATATGAACTAGTACTAAAGATCACAGTGGTATTTTCTGAGATGTGTATTTGCTATTGTGAAAAGTGTTATGTGATAGTGTTGAATCATGACTGACCTTGGTGTTTTATTGGTTATTTGAAAAATCTCTATGGTAATGTGGAGGTTTAACAAGAGCGTGTACCTCTTTCTTAGATGTAAATTCTGTGTGGGAGGCAGTGGGGATGAAACAAAGCAGAATTTCTTTTATGCTAAACAGAAGCTAGGGTTTTGGTTGTTTTCCCTGACACGTGAGTGGCCATGTGGAACCCGTGTGGTTAGTAGAGAGGAACAGCCACATCTGACAGACTATGGAGTCAACCTTTGTAGATAAGAGAGGATGTGATCCGTCCTTCAATAGGGACATCACTTCAGCAGCTCCACTCCTAGCCATACTCTTCACCTTAATCTTCCTTTAAAAGAGGGGAGATACCTACTTGCCTAATATCCCAAAACGTATCTTAATTCATGGTCAGAAAATCTTGCAATAATGTGTGCATTCTCTCATCTTGTATCTGCTGCATACTTCTCTAGTGACTTATCACATTTGATTCTGCTAAGCCTTCTTAAGGTCATCAACATGGCACTTTAAAAAAGCTGTTTCAGATCTTTCAGAGGGATATCCCATTTGTAGCTCCTTCTTCTGAATTTGTAGCAGTTTAATGGAGCACTCCTACATTATAAGGAAGGATTTGGTTTTGGTGGTATTTTAAAGGGGAAAGACAGAACCACTGATATTCACTATTTCTAAGTTACATTTATTTAAAGTGGATCTTTTGAAATTAAAATTCCTTAAAGATTTTCACTGTACTCGGTATATTTGCATGATGAGGCACAGTGGAGCAGGTGGAGAGTAAAAGCCATGCTCTGTTTAGAGTAAGAGTCATGCTCTCTTGTGCTGAGAGACTAAAATATGCCAACATCTTCCCTACTTGTGTCCTATTTGAATTTTCAATTTCTTAATTTGTTACTGTCATTTATTCCCATAGTTACCTAGATATCTTTCCCCCTTTGCTTGTAGAATTCATCAGTCATCATGGAAGACGGACTCGTTCAAGATGAGTTTTCTGAGAGTGTGAAAATGAGCACTTACCTTGTTGCATTCATTGTTGGGGAGATGAAGAACCTGAGTCAGGATGTAAATGGAACCCTGGTATGTTGTTGTAGTAATTGTCTTGAAAGCCTGTTTCATACGAGGTTAAGAGAGATTCTTTAATGATTTCTGACAGCCGCTTTATGAAGGAAAATAAGCTTTTTAAAAAAATTTTAAATTTAAATTCAATTAACATAAAATACATTATTTGTTTCAGGGTACAGGTCCATGATTCATCAGTCTTATATAATACTCAGTGCTCCTTACAACGCATACCCTCCCCAGTGTCCATCACCCAGTTACCCCATCCCTACCCCACCCTCCCCTCCAGCAACCCTCTGTTTGTTTCCTATGATTTAGAGATCTTATGGTTTGTCTCCCTCTCTAGTTTTGTCTTGTTTCATTTCTTCTTCTCTTCTTGTTTCTTAAGTTCCACATAGGAAAATAAGCTTTTGGATCACAACTCTGACGACTTATGCTAGAAATGTTACTTTTTGCTTAGTTTTATTTACTTTCATTAATTAAATACCCAAGTCAATAATTTTCAAGTTTCCTTTAATTTTACTTCTACAAGAGAATTCCAGTAAGACAGTATATGTATAACAAAGCTTCTATAACTGGGCTGCACAATATGGTAGTCAGGGGCTTTATGTGGTTTTTACATTTAAATTAACCAAAATTAGATGATAGCATCATGGCTGAATAAGGTGTCCCTCATTCATGTCCTCTCACCCCAACAATAATTGACATCTGTTCATGGACAAAAATGGAAGCTGTGGGATCCAGCACCATATGCCAAAGGACCTGGGAGGAATCTTGCCCACCGATGCATCAGGTACTAGGCATACAGACCATGGTCCTGGCTGTGGACCCTGTAATGGCATGTGAAACAGCCCTAGCCCTCTTGGCCATGGTGTGGGAAACCTGAGAAATACTGTCTTAGATAGTAACACCTGGAGAGCCTTTGTGGAAGTCCACATTTCTAGCCAAAAAGTTCAGCACTTTTGGAGGAAAGAAATGCAAGTTTGGATGCATTGGCAAGAGCAGTTACTAAAGAGTGGAGGAGGTGACTGCTACTTCAGATGTGAAGACAATAATGTAAAACTTCCAGGAACATGAAAAATCAAGAAAACATGACAACACCAGAGAATCACAATAGTCTTCCAGTAACAGATCCCAAAAACATGGAGATCTGATTTACCCAACAAAGAATTCAAAATAGCTTTTTAAAGGAAACTTAATGAGGTATAAGAAAACACAAAAAGATAATTCAGTGGAATCTAGAAACAATACATGAACAAAAATGAGAGTTGTTACAGATAAAGAAATCATAAGAATTTATTCTGGGGCTGAAAAATATAATGAGTGAAATAAAAAAAGGGGAAGTAGAGAACATCTATAGTAGAATGGATCAAGCAAAAGAAAGAATCTGTGAGTTAGAGGACAGGAAAGTTGAGGGGCGCTTGGATGGCTCATTTGGTTAAGCATCCAACTCTTGATTTCACTTAAGGTCATGAGCTCAGGGTCCTGGGATGGAGCCCCATGATGAGCTCCCCATGAACAGGGAGCATGCTCAAGGATTCCTCCTCTCCCCCTATCCCCCAGCCTGGCACATGCACTGCCCCCCTCCACCCCCAAATAAATCTTTAAAAGAAAAAAAAGAGGCAGGAAAGTTGATATTATCCAGCAAGAGAACAAATAAAAATGGAGAAAAGACTGAAGAAAGCCTGATTTATAGGACACCATCCAAGAAACAATTTGTGAATTACTGGAGTTCCAAAAGGAAGAGACGGAGGAGGGGGGCAGAAAGCTTATTCAAAAGAAGTAATGGCTGACAGCTATCCAAATATGGTGAGAAATTTGGATAATCAAGTTTATGAAATTGACAGGTTTTCAAGCAAACAGCTTGAAGAGAGACATGATAATAAAACTGTCAAAAAATCAAAGAGAATCTTAAAAGGATCAAAAGAAGAGAAGCTTGTACCTTTCAAGGGATATGTCTATCAGTGGATTTCTCTGCAGAGAACTTAGCAACCATAAGAGAGTCAGATGATTCAGGGTGCTGAAAGAAAGAACTGCCAGTCAAAATACTCTTGTCTGACAAAGTTTTCCTACAGAAATTAAAGAGAGAGAGACTTTCCCAGACAAAAGCTGAAGGAGTCCTTCACCATTAGCTCTCCCTTAAAAAGTGCTAAAAGGAGTGCTTCCAGCTGAAATAAAAGGACACTAATTAGTAGAATGAAAATATATGAAAATACACAACACACTGGTAAAGGTAAGTATATAGCCAAATTTAGAATACTCTTTTACAGTATCATATGGTGGTGTATGCATCCAACAGAATGCATAAAAAGCAGTTCTGAGAAGGATGTTTTGAGTGATAAATGCCTATGTTAAGAAACAAGAAAGATCCCAAATAAACAACCTGACTTTATACCTCAAGGAACCAGAAAAAGAACAGACTAAATTCAAAGTTAACAGAAGTAAGGAAATAACAAAGATCAGAATACAAATAAGTGAAAGAGGTAACAGAGAAACATGAGAAAAGATCAGTGAAACTGGAGCCAGGTTTTTTGTTTGTTTGTTTGTTTGTTTTGAAAAATAAATAAAAACAACAGACCTTTACTTGGACTAAGGAAACATAAGATTCAAAATTGGAAATGAAAGGGGCATTACCATTGATAACACAGAAATACAAAGGAACATGAGGCTACTATGAGCAATTATAGGCCAATAAAATGGATAATCTAGAAAAAATGGATAAATTCCTAGAAACATACAACCTAACAAGACTGAGTCATGAAGACATAAAACATCTGAATGGATCAGAAATGAGTAAAGAGATTGAATCAGTAATCAAAAACCTCCCAGCAAAGAGAGTCCAGGTGGTCTCTCTGGTGAATTCTATCAAACATTAAAGAAAAATTAATGCCAATTCTTCTCAAACTCTCTAAAAAATTGGAAAGGAGGAAATACTTCCTGACTTACTTTACGAGGCTAGCATTACCGTCATATCAAAGCTAGATAAGGACATCACAAGAAAACTATAGGCCAATGTCCCTGATGAATATACATGCAGTAGATGTCTCTCCACAAAGTTCTTAAGAAAATGTTAGCAAATTGAATTCAGTAGCACATTAAAAGGATCATAGACCATGATCAAAGGGGATTTATTGCTGGGATACAAGATGTTTCATCATATGCAAATCATAAATATGATACATCACATTAATAGAATGAGAGATAAATAGCATATGATCATCTCAAAGCTACAGAAAAAGTATTTGACAAAGTACAGCTTCCTTTCCTGATTAAAAAACTCTAAACAAATTAGGTATAGAAGAGTATAACTCAACATAATAAAAGGCCATATATGACAAGCCCACAGGTAACATTATACTCAACAGTGAAAGGCTGAAGATCAGGAACAGGAAAAGGGTGCCCACTCTCACCACTCTTCTTTAAAATAGTACTTGAAATCTTAGCTGGAGAACTTAGACAAGAAAAAAGAAATGCAGAGGGGTCAAGATGGCGGAGAAGTAGCAGGCTGAGACTACATCAGGTAACAGGAGATCAGCTAGATAGCTTATCAAACCATTGTGAACACCTACAAATCCAACAGGAGATCGAAGAGAAGAAGAGCAACAATTCTAGAAACAGAAAATTGACCACTTTCTGAAAGGTAGGACCGGCGAAATGAATCCAAAGCCACGGGAAGATAGACCGCGTGGGGAGGGGCCGGCTCCCGGCAAGCGGTGGAAGAATGGAGGAAAAAATCAGGACTTTTAAAAGTCTGCTCCACTGAGGGACATCGCTCCAGAGGCTAAACCGGGGTGAAGCCCACGCAGGGTCAGCGTGGCCCCAGGTCCTGTGGGGTCACAGAAAGATCGGGGGTGTCTGAGTGTCACAGAGCTCGCAGGTATTAGAGCGGGGAAGCCGGCTACAGAGACGGAGCTGAGGAGTGCGCTCTCAACTCGGGCTTACCTTAACAGTAATCCGTGGCACAGGCCACTGCTCTGTGAGTGAGGTCCCCACAAGATCCGGGCAGGCATCCCCTGGGAGAGCTCAGGGATCTGTAGGGTTCAGAGACTCCAGGCGGAGCTGTGTGCCAGAGACAGAGACACTTGGTCACAGGCTGGGTGAGCTCGGAGCGCAGCCAGAGCCAGGGAGACGGGAGTGATTGGGCGCTTTTCTCTGAGGGCGCACTGAGGAGTGGGACCCCGAGCTCTTGGCTCCTCTGGGCCGGAGACTAGGAGGCCGCCATATTCATTCCCGTCCTCCGGAACTGTACAGAAAGCGTTCAGGGATCAGAAGCTCCCGAAAGTGAACCCGAGTGGATTACTTAGCCTGGCCCCTTAAGGGCAATGCAATTCCGCCTCGAGCCAAGACACTTGAGAATCACTACAACAGGCCCCTCCCCCAGAAGATCAACAAGAAATCCAGCCAAGACCAAGTTCACTTATCAAGGAGAACAGTGGAATTCCAGAGGAGGAGAAAGCAAAGCATGGAATTCATGGTTTTCTCCCCATGATTCTTTAGTCTTGCAGTTAATTTTTTCAATTTTATTTTTTTCTTCTGCTAAATTTTTTTTTTAACTTTTACCCTTTCCTCTTAATATTTTTAACTACATTATCTTAACAATACTTTCATTAAAAAAAATAATAATAATCTTTTTTGAACCTTCATTATTATAGTCATATTTTATCCTTCATTGTATCTAACTTTATTTTTTGCATACACATAGGGTTTTTTCTTCTAAAAAAATTTGGGGTACAACTTCTTCTAATAGATCAAAATATACCCTAAATCTAGTTCCGGGCTTCTTCTAGTCTCCAGCCCAAGCAAATTCTCTCCACTTTCTTTTTCTTTATTCTCCCAACCAACTTAATTTATCAACTCCTTTTTTAGAAATTAAAAAAAAAAAAATGTGTTTTTTTTTTTCATCTTTATAGGCATAGTCCATCCCTTCATTGTGTTTACCCTTACATATGTTTTTCATTCTTTAAAATTTTGGGAGGTAGTTTCTGCTAAGAGACCAAAATACTCCCAAAATTAAGTGG